ATGGAGTTTTGCGGCATGACGGCCAGATCTGGCCTTTTCCGGCCAGATCAGCCACGGATCTGGCCAGAAAAGGCCAGATCGACACGTTAAGACACAGATCCGATGGGTCTGTGTCGTAACGCAATTTTCCGGCCAGATTCCAGCGGTGGTGGCCGGAATCTGGCACTGCGGGTGGTGGAGGTGTTTTTGTCATTTATCAAACTTTTTATATATGGGGGTGTTTGGTTAAATTAGCAAATTTAGGGGTTTTTTTTGAAAATTTTTAAATTTATAAAAAACTAAAATAATAAACTATCAAGGGTATTTTAGTCTTTTCACTATTAATAAACATAAATCACTAATAGAACATGACGAAAGATACCTATTTATCGTTTCAAAACCTTTTGAATACTAACTTGTCGTTTCAATAAACCTTGGATATGTGTAAATCGTTCTCCCATTATATTATCAATAGAAGCTGGTAGGAGAAAGGAGGTAGATCAAACCAAACACGTAACAATTACTATGATTGAAATTTTTTTTTTTTTAATGCTTGATTTTGACATAATTATTTATATGTGTAAAATGTTCAAAAATTTTAGAAACTATACCTAATAGATTTATGAGATTTGAATATGAGGTTGAGATTATATATGTTTATAAAAAATAGATAGATAAGAAATTTTTTTATAATGATAGAATGTTTAAAGTAAATTTTATATTCATTATTATTTTATTGTTCTTTTACTATTTTTATAATGTTATCCATAAAACATATAAACATGAAAAAAAAGCTTTGTTTATAGAGAAAAATAATGAAGCTTAAATATTTATTTAACTCTTATTTATCCAACCTTCTGTTTTAATCAATTTATACACTTTTAAAATCAATGTAATAAATGTTTTTTTTGGTAAATTGTCTTGATATTAAGAGCTCTTATTGATATCTTAAATGAGATGAAATTATTATAAAATGTTTGTAAAATGATATGATAGTTTTAACAGTTAATATACTTTGTTTTTAGGCACTTGCTGAGCTGATCAGCGTGACTTTTTAGTCACAACTTGGTATATATAAAACCAATCTAACTACTAAGCTTCTGATTAAGCTGATGCAGAGAAATGGAGGAGGAAATCGGAAGTCTGTGTCGCTAGGGTTAAATTGGGCACTCAGGGATTGGAGGGAGTATCAAGTACCGTTGTGTATTCTGTTATATTATCTATTCTATTCAATTCCAATTTACTGATGTGAAGCATACGGATTTTAGTTTCTAGTTGAATCAAGAATTCGTTTATTCTAAATCAGCAACTACTGTGCAATACTGTTGGTCTGTCTTCATTTTTTTTTTTTTTTTTTTTTTTGGTTCTATGTCGCTAAAATCAATTTCTGGTTTTCCTATTATCAGTATGATGCCTTCAACCTTGTATTTACAGGAAAGTCAATATCTTGTAAATAGTAGAGTTCTCTAACTTTGATCCTTTTCTCTTTAAGGAAATTATAGACCTTCCTCAAACTTGATTCAAGGAGGGTCTCTCCTCACACTAAGAGAGACAAAGAGTCTTTGAGACAACTAACCTCTGAGCCAAAAGATTTAACGGAAACCATGCAACTAAATCCTCTTTTAACATGAGAGCTTTTAGGACCTGATCCTAAATGTTCAGGAAGTAAAGCTTTCATGCAGATGCTGTGATCATTTCACAGACTGAAGTACTTACAGCTCTTTTAGGAGATTTCTCTTTTTTAAAATAAAATCTGGGCGGGTTTAGGTAACTGAACTAACTAGCGCATGCGTCATTCTGCCAACTATTGGATTTTCTAGGATTATAAATCTTGTGGTTGGATGAATGTTCTAACTCTTCATCTTGATCCATTTGAAAATTTTGATCTGGAAGAAGGAAATGGAATGATTGAACATAGCCTTAATCTCAGAGTTGTTAATTTAAACTGTCTTTAACTTTTACATGAATTTATGTTTCTAGTAGTTTATTCAGATAAGCTTCACAGCTCATAAGCATATATATTGATAAGGATAAATATGGTGGTTATCTCCAGCTAAACTTCATACTTGAATTCAATAAATCAGAAGGCCCAGATATAATGAATGGATTTAGGATCTCCATTCCTGATCCGAAAATGGTTACTACAAAGTAGAAAACATCTACTTAATAGCAACTATATCTCTTAGAACCAGGGAATTGGCCAGTGGGACAAACCTTTTTGAGTATTATTTTCTCATGATATCCTTTTGTGGCTTACAGGTATCCAAGTTGGGCTTTGGGTGTGGTGGACTTTCTGGAATACTCAATGTCCTCTTTCCCATGAAGCGGACGTTCAATATAAGAGAAGCATTTTCTAGGGGTATCACCTTCTTTGATACAGCTGATGTTTATGGAGAAAATCACGACAATGAATACATGGTTGGAAAGGTATGCTTTTCAAATTCAAGTTCAAACCTCAGTTGAGCAAATTAATGAAAATATGTATCAAATATGGACAAACTCTTATTGCTTTAAATCAGAAGGTCCCAGATATAATGAATAGATTTAGAATCTGTAGCAATCCCACCCAACCATGACCCATGTCCCAAAAGGAACAGGAAAGAGAAAATGAAAGGTTCTTGCTGGAAAAAAAAATGATCTATATAATCAGGAAGAAATGCATCAAAGCACATGGTAATATGTGATCGAATCATCAAAAGTAATAAGATGCACTCGTTTGCATACAAGAATCTGACTGTTGTGTGCACTCTGTTCACTGTGGTCAATCTAAGATGTCTCTTTCACAGGATTGTCCTGAGAAGCATATACCCCAACGTGATCAAAAGAGTATTTTCTTGTAGGCCTTGAAGCAACTTCCTCGGGAGAAAATTCAGTTAGCAACCAAATTTGGAATTACGTATCAGAGGGGTTTCAGTTTGGAGCCAAAGGTAACCCTGAATATGTTCGGGAATCCTGTGAAGCTAGTCTTAACGGCTTGATGTGGACTAATTGATCTCTACTATCAGCATCGTGTGGACACTTCAGTGCCAAAGAGGATACTGTAAGTGTGATGGACATTTTATCTTGTAAATGTTTTCTACTCAATAATTTACATTCAAAGTACCAGAAGGCATTTAAATGTCTTGGTTGCTTGCTTTGGTTCACTGTTGTAAGGTAGATGGGGGAGCTCAAGAAACTGGTGTGGAAGGAAAAATAAAGTATATTGGGTTGTCTGAAGCCAGCATCGACACAATAGAAGAGCACATGCAGTTCATCCATCACTGCTTACAGATGGAGTATTCTCTATGGACCCGTGAAATTGAAGATGAAATAATTCCTCTTTGCAGGTCTGTTGATATATTGCTATGATGTTGATATTCATCCCAAATTTGTAAAATAGCTTTAATTAGGATTGTTGTCCTCTCAGTTTTGGACCTAACTAAGGATCAGATGCATTCATGAAATTTGACAGTTCACTTGTGAATTATTATTTTTCTCATCATTTTTTGAATCTTCCTTTTCCTGATGTCTTCATCACAGAGACCTTGGTATTGGACTGGTGGCATATAGTCCTCTTGGTCACGGGTTCTTTGGTGGAAAGGCAGTTTTGGAGAGTTGCCGACTGAGAGTCTGTTGGTATGTACCTCAAATAGATAATATATTAACGGGGTCACATTTATCTGTAGATTGTTTCGTATACATGAACACAGAAAATTCTTTTCTGGGACAGAATTTACTCTGATTTATCCAACTGGGCCACCCAGCAATCTTTTACAGTGTAGTTGTTATTTACATTTAGATGTTCCGGTACAGGCTGCACATCCTAGGTTCATGGGGGAGAATTTGGAGAAGAACAAGCTTCTATATTCCGTTTTGCCAATCTTGCTGCAAAGCATGCCTGCACTCCTGCGCAACGGGCTCTGGCATGGCTCTTCCACCAGGGAGATGATATAGTACCCATCCCTGGTATCTTATACTCTTTCTTCTTAAAACACCATCTCTGTTGTATTGCCTTTTTCTTCTGTTGAATGAAGGGGTCACAGTTGTCAAACCGGATATTGCAAAACAAAATTTCGAAAGCAAACAAACCTTTTACATGAGCTAATATAAACTTATTTGTTGAAATTGAGGGACAGCTAAAGTAAGAATCTTGATTTTATAGACTTTTTTTGTTGAAATTGCAGGGACAACTAAATTGAAGAACCTTGATCGCAACATTGGAGCTTGGCAGTGAAACTTACAGAAGAAGATTTGAAGAAATAGTGATGCTGTTCCCATTGATAAAGTGAGTGGCCAAAGGGATATGGATGTTATGGCTAATTATTCCTGGAGTTTGCTGAACCCCATCAAAGTGAAATCAATTATAATACTCACAGAGTATCGATTTACGACTCTATATAGATACCATAGTGTGAACTTGTGAATCTAAATCTATCTGTTTTTTAAGTTGTTTGTTCTCAGAAAATAAAGTAGCAGTGTTCCCACTCTACTGAATTTTATTTTTTTTTCCCTGATGAAAATGTCGATTTGATAGAGTAGTAATCTTATGTAAAGGCATTGGTATTTTCACCCATGTAGTAGCCCACATGATATATGTGAATTGGGGATAGTGTAGATAGGCATATGGTTTCAGGTTCGATTTCTCTATCTTAGCATTTCCCGATTTAAGTTGCATAACGGTTGGAGTTGTGGTGCAGGGTTGTTGCATTAGTTTCTTTCGAAGATTAATCGAGTTGCTCTAAGTTGGCTAGGGTATTATGCTTAACAAATGAATATCTTTTTTGACGACAGTGGGAGAGAGCTTCACACAATAGAAAAAAGCTGCACAACGTCATTAAAAAAAAAAAAAAAGAAAAAAATGTTCCGTACAATTTTGTGCTCCAAAAAATTCAATTGGATCACAGCTTTGACAATTCAATCCATATAATTGGATTGAAGTCGAGCATCAACAGAGCCAATCCAAACCCCGTCTATATGTTTTGGGTCATTTATCTCATTCTAATAGTCCAAAAGGTCCTAAAATATGAAAATATGTAAAGGAAATGGAGTAAATACTTGCATAGTTGCATTCAGAAAGTGGGTCTTATCAATACAATAGAAAAACAAGAGACCAAATGTTCATATACCTGGTATGGAAGATTGAGATGGATGGAGATTGCTGAGTAAGAAACGAAGATTATCGGCATGGGCTGTATTGTACATTTGCTGATGTCAAGATGCCCTTACCAACTAATGCTTGTCGTTGGCGAGTCAACTTGAGAAGTTATCCCTCGCTATAAGTGAAAGGTGAATAGTCGATTTCACTTTATGTTCTTTATTACGAAGCATCTGCGACGAAGTTCGGGCTTCTCTACAAAATGGAGGAGAAACCTCAAATCCATATCCCAAGAGTGAATTGGGTAGTCAAGGTTTAGAGGTAGCTTTTAAGTCTTCTTTTAGATGGGTTTTTTTTTTTTTTTTTTTTTTTTTTTTAAAATCTAAACAAAAAATATATAAATATTTAACATCAACTTTTATCAATCAATATCCAGTTTCTTGAGTAAATCGTTGAACTATACCCCAAATTTGTCCTTTTTGTTTAATCAAATGACCTTCTGGATTTTCTTTAATGTGGTGGTTGGGCTGACAAATTATAACGTATATATTGAATACTTTCTGTGGTTATCTTGTGCATTTAAGTGGAAAAAGAACGGAAAAAAGAAACAACCGAATTTCTTTTTGTACTTCCTGCAAACACAACTGGTTATGATTACCTTATTAAACATCTGTTATATTGAAGGCTTGAAGCTATTGGACAAAGAAACAAATGGTTACCTTATGAAGGTGGTCAAACGCATTTCTTTGCTGAGTGAGTAGTAATCCTAGAGACTGACTGATAAAACTGAAAACTTAGATTTGGAAGCTGAAAATTTATTTCGAAATCTTATAGTAACGCAGTTTTAGGATTGAATTAGAAGTGTTGAGATCTACTGTTATAGATTGAAATTTAAGATAAGTGCATACTCAAGCACACCTCATATGGTTAAGGGCTAAATTTCCACTTTGAGGAGCTGTGTAAGATCGAAGACCACCATAGTATGGTTGGTTTGCAGCCTGAAAACTAGTTCGCAGAAACTAGACTGAACTCTCAAAATAGGGATTTATTCTTAATCTTTTTAGTATTTGAAAATCAATTTGACATAAATTCAAACCTCATAGGATTAGAGTTTACAATGTGTTTAGATGGATATGATTGTGAAAATATGCATGTTTCATGAAGTCAAAAGACAAATCAATAGTGTTGCTTTAGCGACCTGGGTACACTTCAGAGAATTATAGAGTTATGACTCCAATTAAAAGTCATGCATAATTAAATCATCAGAGAAAATGCAACAGCTTCTTCTAATGGTGTGTATATTGATATGCAGGTCTCTAGATTGGGTTTCGGGTGTGGGGGACTCTCTGGAATATACAATGCACCTCTCACTCATGAAGCTGGGTGTTCAGTCATAAAGGAAGCTTTTTCTAAGGGTATCACCCTTTTTGATACAGCAGATATCTATGGAGTTTATCATGACAATGAGATCATGGTTGGGAAGGTATTTTCTTGGTTTCAACTTCAAATTGTCAGACAAACCAATATGAAAGAAACCAAAGTGGGCAGTTCAGTCAATTAACATCAATTGCATACAAGGCTTATGTAGAGTTATGATATATAGCTAAAGAGCACCAATCCACTATTATTATGCTAATTGACTATAGTATGAATATAGTTGTGCAACAGATTTAGTAGCAGTGCTTTTGTAGGTTTGTTCTGTTGTGTATCTCTTGTAGAGATATATACGGAGTGATAATACATGCAATTTCTTACATTGATTTAAATACGTTTATTGTAATATTTTTAGGCTTTAAAGCAGCTTCCTCGTGATAAAATTCAGTTGGCTACGAAATTTGGCTGTTTCAAGACCCAGGGGGGTCTAGGAGTCAAAGGTACACCTGAATATGTGCGGCAATGCTGTGAAGCCAGTTTAAAGCGGCTTGATGTGGACTATATTGATCTGTACTATCAGCATCGTGTGGACACCTCTGTGCCAATAGAGGATACTGTAGGTGTTACAATGTTATTGGCATTTCCTTTCTATTGATTGTATACCTGCGCTCTTTTCTTTTTATGATAATAAATACAGGAACTCATTAAGGTATGATTTTATATTTTGACTTGTGAATTAGATGGGAGAGCTCAAGAAGCTAGTAGAGGAGGGAAAGATAAAATATATTGGGTTATCTGAACCCAGTGTAGACACAGTAAGAAGAGCCCATGCAATTCATCCTATAACAGCCTTAGAAATGGAGTACTCTCTATGGACCCGTGATATTGAAGATGATATAATTCCAGTCTGCAGGTTTATTTCCATATTTTCACCATAACTTTGAGTTTTTCTTCTGCATAAAATTGTTTGCTTCAATGTGAGGCACATGGCTTATATCGTAAGTAAATAGTTCAGGGGTTTTATATTTAATTGTGAATTCTTAATATTTTCTGACCTTCTTCCTCAGAGAGCTTGGTATTGGGATAGTGGCATATAGCCCTCTTGGTCGAGGTTTCTTTGGTGGCAAGGCAGTTTTGGAGAGCTTGCCTTCTGAGAGTATATTGGTAGGTGATGAAAAAAAGAAGATCATATACCTAAACATATATATATATATACACCAAAGTTTGTTTCTCTGCGTTTCTTTGATTCTGTAATATGCATCAGTTATTTCATAATTTTTTATCTTGGTCTGAATTGCTCCAAAACTCATAAATGATATTCCTGTCACAGACTACACATCCAAGGTTCACCGGGGACAATCTAGAGAAGAACAAACTTGTGTATTCTCGTTTTGCGAATGTTGCTGCTAAGAATTCCTGCTTCCCTCCTCAATTAGCTTTGGCATGGCTTCTCCATCAAGGAGATGACATAATCCCAATCCCTGGTAATTATTAGGATAAAGAAAAAAAAAACCCTTCTTCATCATATTCTTCTTGATTGATATTTTGGATGATGTGTGATTTTCATACTTGGATGAGTTTTTACTTTTCACTTTCATATTTTACAGGGACAACCAAGATTAAAAACCTTGATGATAACATTGGTTCTTTGGCTCTAAAGCTTACAGAGGAGAATTTGAAAGAAATTTGTGACGCCGTACCCATTGAGGAAGTTGGTGGCCACAGTAATTACAGTTATTTGTCAAAATATGAATACAAATATGCAAACACCCCAACAAAATAATTGTAAATAGATAAACCAAAATGCACGAAATCCTGCCAGTAAAACCGTTTCTTCTTTGTCTCTGGGTTATTCTATCAAAAAAATATGTACAAAATTAAGTGTGCATCTTCTGTATAATGATAATTGTCCCTCCAATTATGAGCTTTTATTTATTTATTAGGATTTTATTAAATTGAATACCAGACTGGCAGACAGTAGAAAAACAGTTCCACCTATGATGGTTGCTTGCTTATTTTGCTGATTCAATTATGGTAAAATGATTATTAGGTTTCTCTTCGCATGATAAACCTTTTAGTAACTAGGTTAGTTATGTAAAGGAGATTTTGTGTCTAAGCTGTAATAGCTATACCTAAGAGGTATTATGTTTGAGTCAATAGAGTTACTTACTATATTTGTATAATTATCTTAGTTTATTGAGCTCAAGTAGTAATAACTATACTTAGGGAGTCTTGTGTTTGAGTCAATAGAAGTATCTATCATATTTGAATAATTAGTTTGATTCATTGAGTTTATAGAGTATTATTTAGATACATAAACAAATAAAAATAAGACCTTAGAGGAATAAACTGGTTTCAATTTGGGTTTGGAAAGGGTATAAATCTATCCTAGGACAACGGCACGATAAACAAATTTCCGTGGCTTAAAACGCAGGTGCGTATGCTACTTACCAAAGATCCACTAGAAACAAACAGGTTCGGTGAATAAACAGTGTATCAGTATCTATTTTTATTGGAAAGAGAAAATACAGAACGTGGTTTGATGTGACGGCACACTGCTACTCACCAGAAGGCCGTAGTGCTTACTGGAAACCTAGAACACCAGTGGCCTAGAACACCAGTGGCCTCACAATTCAAATTAAACGAGTTCTGGTAAATATGGTAGCCACGTCAGCCAACTCCATCATGGCATATAGTCCTCTTGGTCACGGGTTCTTTGGTGGAAAGGCAGTTTTGGAGAGTTTGCCGACTGAGAGTCTGTTGGTATGTACCTCAAATAGATAATATATTAACGGGGTCACATTTATCTGTAGATTGTTTCGTATACATGAACACAGAAAATTCTTTCTGGGACAGAATTTACTCTGATTTATCCAACTGGGCCACCCAGCAATCTTTTACAGTGTAGTTGTTATTTACATTTAGATGTTCCGGTACAGGCTGCACATCCTAGGTTCATGGGGAGAATTTGGAGAAGAACAAGCTTCTATATTCCGTTTTGCCAATCTTGCTGCAAAGCATGCCTGCACTCCTGCGCAACGGGCTCTGGCATGGCTCTTCCACCAGGGAGATGTATAGTACCCATCCCTGGTATCTTATACTCTTTCTTCTTAAAACACCATCTCTGTTGTATTGCCTTTTTCTTCTGTTGAATGAAGGGGTCACAGTTGTCAAACCGGATATTGCAAAACAAAATTTCGAAAGCAAACAAACCTTTTACATGAGCATAATATAAACTTATTTGTTGAAATTGCAGGGACAGCTAAAGTAAGAATCTTGATTTTATAGACTTTTTTTGTTGAAATTGCAGGGACAACTAAATTGAAGAACCTTGATCGCAACATTGGAGCTTGGCAGTGAAACTTACAGAAGAAGATTTGAAGAAATAGTGATGCTGTTCCCATTGATAAAGTGAGTGGCCAAAGGGATATGGATGTTATGGCTAATTATTCCTGGAGTTTGCTGAACCCATCAAAGTGAAATCAATTATAATACTCACAGAGTATCGATTTACGACTCATATAGATACCATAGTGTGAACTTGTGAATCTAAATCTATCTGTTTTTTAAGTTGTTTGTTCTCAGAAAATAAAGTAGCAGTGTTCCCACTCTACTGAATTTTATTTTTTTTTTCCCTTGATGAAAATGTCGATTTGATAGAGTAGTAATCTTATGTAAAGGCATTGGTATTTTCACCCATGTAGTAGCCCACATGATATATGTGAATTGGGGATAGTGTAGATAGGCATATGGTTTCAGGTTCGATTCTCTATCTTAGCATTTCCGATTTAAGTTGCATAACGGTTGGAGTTGTGGTGCAGGGTTGTTGCATTAGTTTCTTTCGAAGATTAATCGAGTTGCTCTAAGTTGGCTAGGGTATTATGCTTAACAAATGAAATATCTTTTTTGACGACAGGGGAGAGAGCTTCACACAATAGAAAAAAGCTGCACAACGTCATTAAAAAAAAAAAAAAAAGAAAAAAATGTTCCGTACAATTTTTGTGCTCCAAAAAATTCAATTGGATCACAGCTTTGACAATTCAATCCATATAATTGGATTGAAGTCGAGCATCAACAGAGCCAATCCAAACCCCGGTCTATCATGTTTTGGGTCATTTATCTATATCTAATAGTCCAAAAGGTCCTAAAATATGAAAATATGTAAAGGAAATGGATAAATACTTGCATAGTTGCATTCAGAAAGTGGGTCTTATCAATACAATAGAAAAACAAAGAGACCAAATGTTCATATACCTGGTATGGAAGATTGAGATGGATTGGAGATTGCTGAGTAAGAAACGAAGATTATCGCATGGGCTGTATTGTACATTTGCTGATGTCAAGATGCCCTTACCAACTAATGCTTGTCGTTGGCGAGTCAACTTGAGAAGTTATCCCTCGCTATAAGTGAAAGGTGAATAGTCGATTTCACTTTATGTTCTTTATTACGAAAGCATCTGCGACGAAGTTCGGGCTTCTCTGACAAAAATGGAGGAGAAACCTCAAATCCATATCCCAAGAGTGAATTGGGTAGTCAAGGTTTAGAGGTAGCTTTTAGTCTTCTTTTAGATGGGTTTTTTTTTTTTTTTTTTTTTTTTTTTTAAAAATCTAAACAAAAAATATATAAATATCGTTGCAACATTCCAACTTTTATCAATCAATATCCAGTTTCTTGAGTAAATCGTTGAATATACCCCAAATTTGTCCTTTTTGTTTAATCAAATGACCTTCTGGATTTTCTTTAATGTGGTGGTTGGGCTGACAAATTAACGTATATATTGATTACTTTCTGTGGTTATCTTGTGCATTAAGTGGAAAAAGAACGGAAAAAAGAAACAACCGAATTTCTTTTTGTACTTCTGCAAACACAACTGGTTATGATTACCTTATTAAACATCTGTTATATTGAAGGCTTGAAGCTATTGGACAAAGAAACAAATGGTTACCTTATGAAGATGGTCAAACGCATTTCTTTGCTGAGTGAGTAGTAACTAGAGATTGACTGATAAAGCTGAAAACTTAGATGTGGAAGCTGAAAATTTATTTCGAAATCTTAAGTACGCAGTTTAGGATTGAATTAGAGTGTTGAGATCTACTGTTATAGATTGAAATTTAAGATAAGTGCATACTCAAGCACACCTCATATGGTTAAGGGCTAAATTTCCACTTTTAGGAGCTGTATAAGATCGAAGACCACCTAGTATGGTTGGTTTGCAGCCTGAAAACTAGTCGCAGAAACTAGACTAAACTCTCCAAATAGGGATTTATTCTAATTTTTTTGTATTTGAAAATCAATTTGACATAAAATCACCTCATAGGATTAGAGTTTACAATGTGTTTAGATGGATATGAGTGAAAATATGCATGTTTCATGAAGTCAAAAGACAAATCAATAGTGTTGCTTTAGCGACCTGGGTACACTTAAAGAGATTATAGAGTTATGACTCCAATTAAAAGTCATGCATAATTAAATCATCAGAGAAAGTGCAACAGCTTCTTCTAATGGTGTGTATATTGATATGCAGGTCTCTAGATTGGGTTTCGGGTGTGGGGGACTCTCGGAATATACAATGCACCTCTCACTCATGAAGTGGGTGTTCAGTCATAAAGGAAGCTTTTCTAGGGTATCACCCTTTTTGATACAGCAGATATCTATGGAGTTTATCATGACAATGAGATCTGGTGGGAAGGTATTTTCTTGGTTTCAACTTCAAATTGTCAGACAAACCAATATGAAAGAAACCAAAGTGGGCAGTTCAGTCAATTAACATCAATTGCATACAAGGCTTATGTAGAGTTATGATATATAGCTAAAGAGCACCAATCCACTAGTATTAGCCTGTGTCGCTAGGGTTAAATTGGGCACTCAGGGATTGGAGGTAGTATCAAGTACCGTTGTGTATTCTGTTATATTCATTATCTCTTATTCAATTCCAATTTACTGATGTGAAGCATACGGATTTTAGTTTCTAGTTGAATCAAGAATTCGTTTATTCTAAATCAGCAACTACTGTGCACTTACTGTTGGTCTGTCTTCCATATTTTTTTTTTTTTTTTTTTTTTGCTGTTCTATGTCGCTAAAATCTCAATTTCTGGTTTTCCTATTATCAGTATGATGCCTTCAACCTTGTATTTTACAGGAAAGTCAATTATCTTGTAAATAGTAGAGTTCTCTAACTTTGATCCTTTTCTTCTTTAAGGAAATTATAGACCTTCGCTCAAACTTGATTCAAGGAGGGTCTCTCCTCACACTAAGAGAGACAAAGAGTCTTTGAGACAACTAACCTCTGAGCCGAAAAGATTTAACGGAAACCATGCAACTAAAATCCTTCTTTTAATCATTGAAGAGCTTTTAGGACCTGAGTCCTGAAATGTTCAGGAAGTAAAGCTTTCATGCAGATGCTGTGATCATTTCACAGACTGTAGTACTTACAGCTCTTTTAGGAGATTTCTCTTTTTTAAAATAAATTCTGGGCGAGGTTTAGGTAACTGAACTAACTAGCCGCATGCGTCATTCTGCCAACTAATTGGATTTTCTAGGATTATAAATCTTGTGGTTGGATGATTATGTTCCTAACTCTTCATCTTGATCCATTTGAAAATTTTGATCTGGAAGAAGGAAATGGAAGTGATTGAACATAGCCTTTAATCTCAGAGTTGTTAATTTAAACTGTCTTTAACTTTTACATGAATTTATGTTTCTAGTAGTTTATTTCAGATAAGCTTTCCACAGCTTCATTAAGCATATCATATTTGATAAGGAATAAATATGGTGGTTATCTCCAGCTAAACTTCATACTTTGAATTCAATAAAATCAGAAGGCCCCAGATATAATGAATGGATTTTAGGATCTCCATTCCTGATCCGAAAATGGTTACTACAAAGTAGAAAACATCTTCTTAATAGCAACTATATCTCTTAGAACCAGGGAATTGGCCAGTGGGACAA